CTTTGACAGGATCAAAAAGACCAGGATTTGCAACAATCCCCTGCCGCTCAGAACCAAGGTGTCTGACTTTGATGGCAACTTTGAAGCCAAAGGCCGTTCACACTCACCATGCTTGATTGTCCATGATGTCTGGGAATATTATCAGAGTTCTTCGGCGGATGAGATTACATGTCCATAAGCACTTATTGGCTGCCCTTCAAATGTTAGATGCCCCTGTCATGATGTTTCCTTCGGCTCCTTGGGTTTACCTAGGGCCTTGCACCCTTGACTTCTCTCAGCATTCAGGGCAACTTCTTGCAAGCGGTGCGGAGAAGCCGCAAGACAAAGCAGTCAGTGAGAAAAGGTTTGACTTGTCCAATTACATTCATCGTCTCCCTTTACATCCAGCCAGCATGTTTCTCCGGAATCCGACGAAGCCAAGCCAGGCAGGTGAGCAATCCATTGCATGTATGTCATATATGCTCTTCGTCCGCTCGTCGTTTTCTACTTCATCTCTCCAAGCTGTGGAATGTACAGACTTGTCCAATGCTGCTTCTCTGGATGTGTGAAGATGGCTCTGTGATAAGCTGCCAACAGGTACATGTTAGCTTGTACGTTGCGACCACAGGGGGGAAACCAGTGGGGCAAGTGGGTCAAGTGGGGGAAGTGGGGGAAGTGGGGCAAGGTGGTCAAGAGTGGGTCCAGGGATGAGAGATGTCAAGAGTCTGTCAAGTGGGGCAAGTGGGTGAAGTGCAGGAAGTGGGGCAAGGGGGTCAAGTGGGTCAAGAGGGTCAACAGTGGGGCAAGTCAAGGGTGTCAAGTGTGGCTGAAGTAGGGCAAGTGGGGGAAGTGGGCCAAGTGGGGCAAGGGTGTCGAGTGGGTCAAGAGTTGGGCAAGGTCAAGTGGGTCAAGTGGGGCAATTTGGTCAACTGGGGGAAGTGGGTCAGCCGGTCAAGTGGAGCAAGTGGGTCAAGTGGGGCGAGTTGGGCGAGTGGCCGTGGACCCTTAATGCCTCCCAACACCGACGCTCTTTTCTTTTACTTCCTGCTGGCTGCAGATGGAAGGAGGGTTAGACTTCATTGGGCTGAGTGCATCTGTGAGCCTAAGGCCTACATTCATGAACGGTCCAAAGCTGCGTGCCACGGGCTTCAATCTGTCATTGCTGCACACAGGCGTTGGGGGAGCTGCAGGGAAGAAGGGCAACAAGTATCTCAACGGCAAGCTGCATTGCTGCACCGAGACTACTACTTTCGCATCATGGTGCCAGAATGGGCGGTTGTGAAGTTTCGTCCTTGTTGGACCAGTAGCGATTTGCACGGCCCCACTCTTGTGAGATCCCAGGGTGGATGCGACAAGGATCTCTGCAATCCCCGCAATTTTTTAGCCCCTTCCGCTGCATGTCTGAATCTTGAATTGCATTTCGCAGGGCTCCCTGCTGGGTGTGCTTTGTAATGATCTGAAGTCTCCGGAGCTTCGGATACTCCCAGGGCCCAATATGCCAAGACTGAAGCCCAAAACCCTCCCAGGGTCCCCTTTGGGCGCTGAGAATAATTAGTGAGCTCATGCTGAGGAGCATCTTTCAAAGGCAAGTGCTGTCGACGCAACACAACCCTCCCTCAGCCGTAAATCCTGAGCTCTGAATCCCAACTCGAAAGCCCTACACCCTGAACCTTCAGCCCTCCGATGTTCAAGCCTAAGGCTGCCGAAGAATCCTCCTAAGCGGCCCAAGCCCCCTAAGCCGGTGAAGCTCTTGGAATTCAAGCCTCTCGGATGGTTTTTGGGCTTAGGTTGCAAGGTTTAGGGCGTAGCGGGGTTTAGGGTTTCAGGTTTTGGGTGCAGGGTTCAAGGCTTTGGATTTAAGGTTTAGGGTATGGGTTTACAGGAAAATCGTTTAAGTAAGGTAGTTTATGGTCTGACGTTTCGGGTGTGAGGTTTAGCAATGAGGCTTGCAGAAGGTTTTTGAGAGAAGGGGTGCATGAGCTAGAAAGGAGCATCTGTACCTGATGGGGAGTCTCGCATTGTGGGAGGCAGCACTACGGCGCTTGCCATGATGGACGGTGTTTGGGGAGGTGCAAGATTTTTACCATCCACCGCAAGTAGGGGACGAATGCTTCTCCCTCAGACATATTTGATATCAAGCGGTGGATTGTTTGGGGGAGAAGATTCTACGCTCATTCCCAGCGCTTGGAATGAAGCAGGCATGCATGTACAATGTCAGCTTCGAACGCATGAGAAAGCCTACAGTACTTCCTGATAGAAGTCGGAGTTTCTCACATGAAGCCCTGCAATCTTGATATATCTCACGCTTGCGGGTATCCCTGGTTTGAGACAAGCCCAAGACCCAAACACTCAACCCTACATGCGCGCATACAACCCCATATAGCCCTATCTATCTATCTATCTATCTGTCTATCTGTTTATATGTGTATGTATACATACATATGGTATGTGTGTGTGTGTGTGTAATTTAGCTCCTAAATTCCATACCAGGGTCCTCGACCTCGGGGTTCGCTGGGCTCCCCTGCCGAGGCCAGAGATGCCAAGCTATTCGAACAAATGTGTTGGCTTCTCCACAGCATTTGGGGGATTCCGTCCTCCGCGTGTCCTCGCAAATCTCCAGGTCCAACCGTGCCCTTTAATAAGTGATGTTGGCTGAGGGTTTAGGGTAGCTGGGTAGGGCTTAGGATAGAGCTCAAAGTTCAGGTCTTAGGACTCAGGGCGGATTTGGCCCGTGCCGCCCACCTTCAGACCTTCAGGGATCCTTTATCCTGGAAGGCGTTGTAAAGTGTACTCGGAAACCGAAGATCACGAGGAGCACTCCTGAACTAGAGGATTGCGCAAGCTCTGGGAAAGCAGAAGAAAGCTTGACAAGTTAGTGGAAGCATAAACCAAAAGGATTAAAGCAATTCGCCACCCTGGAATCCCTAGACATCCCTTCCTAAACAGCTTAGACCCCACATGCCATCCCTACGCTGACCGCTACATAATCCAAGTTTGCAATTTCATGCTCCGTTTGATTCTCCGTTTGACGTCATGTGACTTGCCACTTCATTCTGAATTTTAATCCTCATTTGATTCTTCATGGTAGCCATCCAGCGGCTCGGAAAAGGCTATGGCGACCTCTGGAAGAACATCCACGAGACAGTGGCTTCTGAGCTGAAAACACCTGAGCTCAATTCATTTGGACCCTCCCTTACTCTTGGTTCGAATGAGATGGTCACTCTGGGGGTCTATGAAACGGGTCTCCGCTGGTCCTTGTGCCTGGGCATGTTGCGGGTGTCAGAACCGCAATCTGAGAGGAAACGGTTGGGGTCTTAGGGGGGAGTTGCAGATGTCTGTGCCGAGCAGCAATGATGGTTCAACGACATGCGACCATCGAAGCTTGTGAGCGTTTGCTTGTGGTTTGCAATTTGTGGCTCATGCTGCTGCGAGAGCTGTTAGTCGTGCGACGGAAAGAGGAGCGGAAGCAGGAGGAGGAGGCAGATGGGGCAGTGCATGAGGTGCGCGACTGTTGGGGGTCAGAGTTGAAGCAGTTGGTGATACAAGCTGCCTACCAGGTGAGGTCCGAAATGCTGTGCGTGTTCAGGCCAACGATTGGTAGCAGGGTCCATTCCCAAGCTTTCATGAAGCATGGGCTCACCAGCAGCATCAATTGACGGTTTGTCGCCCCACTTAGCTTTTGGTCAGCAGGCTACGTCGCGCTTGTATAGTAGGATTTTTCCTGCAAGATGTTTGTTTTTCCTCCCTTCATGCGCGCAGAACCCGCAAAGCGTGGCCGCTTTGGGCCAGCAGGCGTGTAGCGCTACGCTTCCTTCTCTCTTTCACTGACTTCTGGGGACTCGCAGATTCTCACACTTGCAGAGCGCGAGTGCTGTGGCTAGGACCTAGGATGCTATGCCGTGCTATGTCTGCCTGTATGAATGGTGGTGCCGCTGTCTGAATCTATACGTTCTTGTACTGAGCCTATGCACATTTCGCTGGAGCCTATCTCTTTCGGACCTGGCAGTAACACAAGTATCTGGATCTGCGCAGCCGGGTTCTAGGATAGTTTGTCCTGTTGTCAGACTTCGCAAGGACGAACACGCAGCACATTCGAGCTTAGTTTAAAGCCCCAGTGCTGGGAAGAGGGTTTCTTCTGAAAGTCCTGATGGCGGAGCTCACCTTTTTGGCAGTGCGAGCCGCGTCTGTTGACACCGGTTCGTGCGCTTCAAGGAATCAGGTCCAGGTGCCGGTTGTCTCGCCCAATCCCGCCCCTTTGTGTCCTCGCCATTTCAATTTTGCCTTGGGCCGGCGGCTTTGCTGTCCGATGAGGTCAACGATATTGGCGAGCAGGAAGAGGCGGTCAGCAAGCTCGATACAGAAGAGGACGTGGTGGCTGCTTGAAAAGTAGTAGACCTATGGTTCAGGGGCTGCGCCTGTTGCCCTACATGCTTTGACTTAGAAAGGAGGAAGGTGCTGGATACCAAGATGTCCATCCTTGTGACGTTGCCGGTGAGCAAGGCGCATGGCAGCCCGCATCTCCCTTGGCCCAGAAGAAAGTCTGATCGTTGCCTAACAAGACGAGATGTGGACAAAGATGTTATGTTGTAGTTTCCATTCCTGTGCATACGGTAGTGGAGTAGATACCGGAAATGATCATGTATGTACAAGATCGATGTTCCCATGCAGTCACCAGAGACAAAGCAAGCAGGTTTGTGCCAGGACGTCAACTGAAAAGGCAACATGCATCCGGACACCTGCGCTTTGGTCTGCCCAAAAGCCTGTACGTGTGAGATTTGGGACAAGGTCGCAGCAAAATGCGGCTTCTCCCCAAACCGGACAGCACCCGGATTGTTGCTTGTATGGTGAGTTTTAAGGACCGCCACGACAAAACTTCACACTCCTTTTGGGTCAAAATGGCCTTGAGTCTGCATCCTTGCCCCCGTGAGGCGGCACTTCAGGAGAAATCGGAGGCAGGATGGCGACGTCATTCAGTGGGATTCAATTCCGTTCCTTGAGGAGAGCGCTTGCTTGCTTCAGCAATGATCCGAGCACGTCTCGAAACGTGTTTAGCCAACTGAGTCACAGTCAGAACCCTTCAATCAAGACAAGTATGTTATTTGAGCAGTAGCCAAGGTAGCACACATTCAACGCCCTGTCAGGCGGTGACGGTAGCGACACGCGAGATCAGATTCCATACGACCAGCGGCTCGGAAAGTTTGGTCTAATGGTTTTGGGCTTAGGAGGTCGATGCCTGTGCCTTGGCTTGTATTCCGTTGGGCTTTACTCAGTCTCGAGTGCAGAAGATAGCAAGATCAGGCATATGCGGACCTTCACGTCACCAAGCCAAGCACAGGTTTGGGTTTGACCAGCGCTTAAAATGCTTGAAAACTCTACGAACTCACAGGACTGGAGCGACAACAGTCGGGTTGCGCCCAGCAAAGGCTTGACGGCTGCCAAGCGCGCGATATTGAGCGAGCGCTTGTGGATGGCAAGGAGCTCGCTGCAACGGGAGTTTAGGATTGGAGGTTTAGAGATCACCTAACATCATCCTAGAGACGGAGCCCCTAGTCTCTTGGTAATCCTCGTAGATGCAATCAGCCCCAGAGTAAGAGGAGAACCCTAAATTAGGGTTTTGCCAAACCCAAATTTAAGGTTTAGCCCAGCCCCAATTTAGGGTTTAGCAAAACCCTGAATTAGGGTTTAGCCAGGCCCTAATTTACAGTTTAGCTCACCCCTTATCCTCAGGGGGAACTGCGGCTCAGGGAATTGTCAGATGAGCGTTTCCAAAGCATTTTGGCAGCTCAGGGCTTACGGCCCGAGGTCTCAGATCTGAGTCTACACTTCTGTCAAACTGGTTGTCTAAGGGTGCCTGCAAGAAAGCTCTCAAATTTGAAAGCGACTGCGAGTTGAACGAGCTCCGCCTCGAACGTCTGAAAGGATACATGAGTTCAAGAGTGGCAATTCGGACTCCGTGCGGTTGACAGTAATTGTGGGACATTATGGGGTTGTAAAACACGGCAGCGGCTAGCTCCCTCAATCTCAACGGAAAGCAAACGCCATCATACTACATCAAGACAGGGATCAGCAGCATGAAGCGGTTGATAGCTACGAGAAGAACTTACTCAACTGGCCCAGAAGTAAAGCATGGCTTGCCGGTGGCAGGTAAAGAATCAGCGAATGGATCCTTATGGTAATCCTATGCAATCACCTTTCATTGTCCTTATGACCCATATTATGCCCATATTCTTTCATTGCTTGCTAGCCACCTGTAAGATTGATTGGAGTGGCTTTGGGTTGGTGTAAACCCTTGTGCATGCAGGCATCCTACTGGCATTTAAACGCCATGACAACGGCCGGCTTGGCCCACAGCATTGTCGGCATGGTGTTCAGGCTGCAGTTTGGGTCTTTTTTCTCTAGATGTGGGTTTCCCAAAATTATGGGTACCTTTTGGGGGGTCCCCATAATAAGGATTACTATATATTGGGGTCCATATTGGGGTTCCCTTTTTTGAGGAACCTACCAAATTTCCACCAACCCCAGCATTGAAGTGGGCCTAGACGGTCAGGCTTCCAATGGCGAACATCTAGGTCTTGGGGGTTTTCATCCTGCTGAACCCTAAACCCTAAACCCTAAACGTAAATCTCAAACCAAGGTTTGCAAGGCGATCCCCATCACGGCCATTGAGCCCTTTGGAGCACCGTGGCCTGATTTAGGGTGCAGCAGACAGAGCGAGAAAGGCAAATGTGAACACAGCCATCAAGAACACTGGACAACCCATTTCTTAATTATAGGAGGAAACAGTTGCTGCATCATGAATAACATGAGCAGGCCCAAGCCCAAGGCGCCACCTTGACTTTCAAGCTCAAAGCTAACCAGGAACCTTAAATATGCCTAGAAAACCCAGTCTCCTCAAGCTCTCCAACAGACAAACTCCAGGCCCCCAAGAACCTATTGAGAGTAGTTAGGTCCTTAAACAATGCATTGTTCAGGCTGGAGTTTCTATTGACTCCGGGGACATCTGTGGTGGCATCAAGGTCTCAAAGAGGGTTCCAGGGTTAGGGCTAGGGGTTCAGGATTTTGTGGGGTGTTGAAGTTTGGGGTCACATAGCTTCAGAGCCATGAGGAGCTCGAAATCAGGCAAAGCAAGACATGCCGCTGAAGCTATACTCAGAAGATGGGATCGTTGAAGGGAGTTTCCGAACATGCTGGCTTCATATTTTTAAATGACACTCTGGTGTCGAGGGGCTTGGGCAGTTTGCCATCATGCCTTGTGGTGTTGCAGGACGTGTTGGCGACCACGAAGAATGCGGTGGAAGCATACAGGCCTTCCCACTAGAGCTCAACTCCCAGTCCACCTTGTGGCTTTGCGAGCAGTCTGTGGAACATTTCGGGGTGAGCCATTGAAGTGCAGGTGCGTCCCAGGAATAACATGCACGTTGCAAACAGGAAGACGTGCCTGCCCGACTCCTTCAGGAGCATGTGCACGCGAACAAACATTGGGAAGCAAACGTTGGATGCAGTTCTGCACTTGTGTAGATGGCAGAGAGTCAGGCTATACGCAGCAGGAGCACTATACAGCATAGAAAGGACATCTTCCTTGGCAGGTCCTACAAATTCTACTATGACTTGGAACAGGAACGGCATGCCGTCAGGGCCCCAGACCACGCGTAGCAAATTCACAGTGATTGTGCGACAACATGAGAGCGCTTGTGGAGATCTGGTTTTGAACGGATGGGCATGATCGGCTTGGGTCCAAGCGTGGGCAGCTACCTCACTGCTGCTTGCAGAATTCATGTTGGTGCATGTGGCATAGGAAGCGGAAGTGAAATGTCCCCACGGCCCGGCAGTGTCTGAACACAGGATTGTGACCCGCTGCGAGCGGACTTTGCCCGCCTTTTCTGCGATGTCCACTGCGTCCGGGATGCCGTCATCCGCGGTGATCGGAGCATCCTCCGCAACTTGAAGCAGGCAGCAGAGGGCTGGGCAGGTCCATCATAAAAATTGTCAGGACTCTGACCCCCACATCTTTTCTTTTCCCATGTGCTTAGCTGCCGCCAGGCAACTGATGTCCTTGCCTCAGCCCATTTCTGCACAGGAACTGTCGCCCAGCAAGGATCATGATTGTGAGGGTCCACTCGGAATGTTGTCGTGGACTCTAGGGCGGCTGTGTGCGAATGAAGTCCGAGGTGACAAACAAGAATTTGGATCAGCTGTCCGCATGGATTGCCCATGGCTCAGAGCATGCCACACCGAAGAGTAGCCGTTGCGGCGGTGTTGCTCAACAATGATGTTGGTTGCTGCTGCTGTTGCTACTTGTTGCGGTAAAGTGTTGCTTTCGCCGCCAGCTGTCATGGTGACGCTTGCATCGAGAATGAATGTCTTAGCCCCACCAGAACTCGTGAAGGCATTTCTGAAATGCTTGCGGAAAAGGGCATCTGAAAAGCTGGAGTCATTTTTTGATGTTCCTTGATATGCTCTCAAGGTCAAGTCATCGCGGGTGGACTCCAACTGGCTGGCCGACAAGCCTCTGGGCTGCATCTGCGACAATGTCAGTGTGGGCCGAACGAGTGCGGAAGACGTCATATCAGCCAGAGGATTTGCTGGCTGCCACTGAATCTCTCTCTTTCTCCCCTCCTCTCCCTCCATCTCTCTTCATCTCCCTCCGTCTCCCTCCGTCTCCCTCCATCTCCCTCCATCTCCCTCCGTCTCCCTCCGTCTCCCTCCGTCTCCCTCCGTCTCCCTCCGTCTCCCTCCGTCTCCATCTCTTTCCATCTCCCTCGATCTCCCTCCTTGTCCCTCCATATCCTTCCATCTCCCCCTCTTCCCTACATCTCTGATTAGGATCGACTATGCTGCAGCGGTGGGCGCGCGGAGCATCGAAGCGCTCAAGGCGGCCCTCGGTGCGAAGGACGAGCCAAGCGCTTCCATCGATTCAAGACCAACTCTTGTCGGGGCAGGGTATGTTTGCCTGGACCCCTTTCAAATTGCTCTTTTGAGGTATCGACACAGAGCTCAAACACATGTCAGTTGCGCTACGCTTGTTGGCGGCATCTACAGCCGGAAAGCAAACCGCACTTGGCAATGCGTAGCAGGGTGTAGATAATGGGACCATGGATTATGTGTGACATTGCCAGTGAGACAGTCTTCATACTTCATGGGGCTTTATGTTGACCTGAAAAGAAATGTGAATATGCAGATATGTCAACCCTACTTCTGCACCTTGCTTTGGTCACTCCTGCAGGCATGTGATTGCATGGCATGTACCGGCTACCTTTCGGACCAAAGGCCTTCAGCCTTTGTGCTGTGGAAAATAGGTGTGCAGCTGTTGCAGGTTGCCTTTGCATGGGGTGGCCTTTCTGAGTGCATTCCACAGTGGCACCGGAGCTGGTTGCGATTCAGGCGGCTTTTCGCGCTTTGTCTTCTTGGGTGCCGAGCCGATCAAGTTCATCTTCACTGACCCGATTCTCCGGGGCGTCTTCGTGATCTTGGCGGCCTCCGGGCTTTGCCTTTAAGGGAGGCAACTGCTGTTGCTGTTGGGGGGCAAGCTTGGATAATTCGGTTTCTACCTTTTCCCTCTTGACCTTCGTGAAGAAGATGGCCGATGGCAAAGATGAAGGTACGAGCTCCTGGTACAAAGTTCCAACGTGGGACGCCGAGAGATGGACTGGTGGGTGAGCAGCCTTGATCTGGAAGGCACCAGGAAGTACAACTTAGCTGCGCGCTGGCTGCTGAGGCAGTCGGGGCCGGCAAGACAGAGGGGCGAAGAGTTCACCCCCAAAGAGCTGGAGTACAAGAAGGCCGTGAAGGCGACGGACACCGAAGGCACCGAGATCACGGTCGAGGAGGAAGACCTTCTCTTCGGGCTCAATAAGCTGTTGGACGCTTTGGAGTCCATCAATGGTCGCACCATCCTGGATAAGAGAGGCGAGCTCAGGAGTCAGCTTTACTTGGAGCTGGCGAGGCGCCCAGGTGAGAGATTGTTGGAGTTCTGCTCTCGCTTCAGGACGGTGGTAACGCAAAGGGGGTTGTTCTTCCAGACTCCGAAAAGGGCTGGTTCCTCAAGGAGAAGCTTGGTTTGGATCCCTTGAGAAAGCAGCTTCTTGAAACAGCGCTGGCTGGCAAGGAGGACTATGCGGTCATCGAAGCAGAGTCGCTGCGACTCTTCAAGGACTTGCATGCCAGTGACCCTTTCTACAGAAAGCCGGTCTCCTCAGCGACTACTTTTTTTTTTCAAAGGCGCTCCCCTTTGAGTACGTCGACGACTTCAGGTACGACGATGTCGAGGCCCTGGGCTTCATCGATGGTGCGACCGCGAGCTTCTTCGACGACATCCTCGGCTCCTCGTCCTCCTGGTCGTGGATTTCTTCCCCGGCAGGCGCACGTGGCGGAGCAGCATGACGACATGGAGGAGCAAGACAACGGAGAGGATGACACGGACGAGGTCCAGGACGCTGACACGATGGATGCCCCGCCTTCTTTGGAGGAAGTGCTCCAGACTGAAGCCGCCGAGCTCGAGCAGGCAGCGGAGGAAGGTGCAGACGACGAGGTCTTGGGTGGCCTGGAGGCCTCGGTGGAAGCAGGCGCAAAGGCCCTTGTTTCGATGCGTGAGGCCAGGACCCGACTTCAAGCTGTTCGCAAGCAAGGATCGTGGCTACAAGACCCAGGCCCCAACGTCGAGTGTCAATTGCGATGGAAGAGGCCGCGGACTTGGAGCCATAGCCCTCAGGAAGCAATCCGGCAAGCCTCTCACTGTCGTCGTCGATGCCAAAATGTGGACTCAAAAATCCCTATAGCTTTCACGATTGCCTGGCTCAGGTCTGTGCTCCAAAAGCCTGGGACATCCTTGAAGTGAACGGCAACGGAAAACATGTGGGTTGACGGAGGCACCAAAGACATGGACCTCACTCACATGCGAGACAGAGTGGTGCGTGACGTACTCACCTGACTTTGTGAAGCAATTCAGCAAGGGGGCCATACGCCGTGCTACCTCGACGACTCCTTCGACTACCAGTGCTCTTCCCGGCGAGGGCTTTTTTCAATGACGACCGGATCCTCGGCTATGTCCTGAAGTTCTCCACGCAGCGTGGTTGGCATAGTGAGGGCGACCTTGGTGTAAATGTGGCACAGAAGGCGCTTTCCTTGAGGACACGCTTTGCCAGCTCAGCTTTGCCTTTTCGCACTTGAGAGCGCTGGAAAGCTGGTGTGGAGGGCTTTGGAGCGTAGTGTCAAGTACGTAGATCTGCCCAAGCAGCATGCGCTTATTGGATAGAATTCTGTGAGCCTCGTTGCCTTTTCCATGCCCGGCGGTCGCTAGCCGTGCAGGGATGACCGCCTTAAAGCAACATAAAATGAGGGCCGTGTGAACATGCAGGCATGTCAACCCTACTTCTGCTTTGGTCACTCCTGCAGGCATGTGACTGCATGGCATGTACCGGCTACCTTTCGGACCAAAGGCCTTCAGCCTTTGTGCTGCGGAAAACAGGTGTGCAGCTGTTGCAGGTTGCCTTTGCATGGGGTGGCCTTTCTGAGTGCACATTGTCTCGAGTCTGGCACCAAAGCGCAGCGAGGCGCTCTCATTATCTTTTGGGGGACAGAGGTGTTTGATCTCACATGTCTTCTAATTAACATGCATCAGGGACAGCTTGAAAGTATAATGGAGTGCAGATGCGCGGCAAACGGGTGTGTTGATCATATTCTTTCTTGTGGAGTTAAGTCTTAAGAGCCTGCTAACAACCTGGAAAAAGGGAGTACTGTTTCTGAAGACTCAGCTGCTCAGACCAGGATGAGCCAAGCATGCTGCTGGCTATACGCCACGCCACAGAGCCTCGACCAAGTTGTCATATGAGCAATGGTCAATACCCGCATGTAAGGCACAAAGAGAAGGAATGCCGGGAGATGTAGGAATCGTGCAAAAAGCCCCAAAAGCGATAGGACCCCTGCAGAAGCCATACCCCTCAATCTAAGATGTAACCATGACGGCTTTTGGTTGAACCCCCAAAAGCGACATTTTTCCCTGTATCCAATGCCAAAACCTCCAAAAGCGATAGGCACCCCCCAAATTGTCCATGGCATCGGATTATAGAAGGAGTATCGGCGAACGCTCATATCTAGGCTTAAGGATCTAGCACTGAGGTTGAGGGCCCTCACACATTCAGTTGAGTTTTGCCTTGAGTGAGGGGGCATTTTCCTGCCGACGTTGTAGATTGAGACATCACTCAGGTCTTCCTCATCGAAAAAGCTTGCAAACCTTTCTCTCCCTCTCTCTCTCTCTCTTCTCTGTCTCATTATTGATTCTTTTAACTGCTCTTGCAGCATTTCTTAATTGTGTGTGTCAAC